ATTAGTTACATAGTGTGCTAGGTACCTAATACGGTATATATGGGGTCAGTAAATTCCATATGGGGTGAGAGCGAAGCTCGAATCCCCATATGAAATTTACTGACCCCATATATACCGTATTACGTCACTAGCACACTATGTAACGAATTTATTTACCGACTTTCTTAACGTATGATATTTAGACTAGTAACCTATCAAAATGAGCAAGTCGTAAATACCGTTAGCATTACGAAACTACTTCCATTGATCATACAAAAACAGATGCCAACAATAACAACTTGTTAGCTTTAAATGTGTTCTATGAATTTATTTCAATCTTAATCATCAATTTCTTCGTTTGTTGAAACCTTTAAGATTTTTTCTCAGTACTGTTTTATTTTTATAAAGGGACGTAACACCACTACTGGCCCGAGAACACAGTTATTTCGTAGTGCATTTCTGTTAGACAATAAATTCAAATTAAAAAAATCGCACCTGCTCTATCTCAAAAAGATTTTTACAGTGTAGTGTACTACTATTGATACAAATAGTATCAAAATTATAGAAACTTCTACCAGCTCTAACTCAAAATATTAACAATTCTGTGTTAAGGGGGGCTAAAATTCAGTTTGACAGATTCAGACATTCTAATTTTTGACCTTTTTTAACTGGACCAAATCACTACTTAACATAAAGATTCAGCACCCAATTTTTTTTAACATGTAATTTCATCCCTTTACTTAATATTTCATGCATAAAATATCAAGAAATAAATTGGGAAAGTGTATAAAAAAAAATGCAAGTTATAAACTTTTCACACTAGGGACTATATTCGAAAACCAAAGGACGATAACTGTGTCCTTGGACCTACTAACCGTGTATTGAAATAAGCCCCGCCTCCCTACTAACCTAATATGGAATATTCACGGTCTTCACGCGGACGCTTTTTACCAATCATATTCCTAGAAATGTATAGGAGGTAGGATAATAAATTATATAAGTAGAAAAAAAGAAAATACTTTCAACTAAAATAGAATTGTTTTATTTGAATTAAATAGATTCAACATTTAAGTCTGCAATTTTGAAAATTTCAAACATAATTTATTGTAGTGCCAATGTGGACCCCAAATCGTACCTTCTCCTTTGGAATTGCACAGGACAAAGCGATAATCATTATTTGCTATTTGCTAGTGTTTTATCACTTTCTGTGTGATTTAATACACGTTATACAACGACTGTACGTTGAACATTCGTGAACCTGTTTTAATGCAATATAATATGCATATAATGTAACGCCACTTTTGATAAGACACGTCAATACCGTCAATTTGGAACTTGACAGTCGCATACATCGATTTGACTAGTTTCTTTTTACATTGTCAAATCAAGGTGGCATAGTGTTGTTATTCTTAAATTGTGCTGTCGATTATTCAAAGTGATATTTTAAGATTTCTGGTCTTCTGCTCAGATTTTCTACGTGAAATCGAGCTCGATAGTGTATCAATCAAAGCATTTCAATATGTATGCGCTATAGAAGCTCGTTTAAACTTGCTTCGGGAACCGATGGAAAAATACTACTGTATATAGCTGATATATAATCAAATAATGAATTAATTCAGATAGTTATTTTCAACATTTTGTACCTGTGGAGACAGACATACTTACCCTTACGGAGCACCTGACTTCATCCCCCTTTTTCGTGTTTCTCAGCTTTAGCAATCTGTGAAGTTATTTCGGGGAATTGTTATTTGCTTTTTCGTTTTATTTGTTTGCCCTGCTTCGACCTACGGTGTTTTATTGCCCTCTTAAGTATCAGCAATCTGCTACTATTTCAATATTAAGTTTAAAAATTGGAGAATTACCCAAAAAGGCAATATAGTAAAATAAAAGTCATAATTAAATCTGATAGTAGTATGGTAATATAATACAACTGATTGTATGTACCCGTAAAAAGAATTTTTCTATAATTATAAAAGAAAAACAATGAAATAAAAATAAAATAGGAAATTATTTTGGGATTCTTCAGCGTCAATCTGATTATTTTATGTACAATGAATGGATTGTGGTAAGTATTAGTCGTAGTTTAAGCAGTAAGTCATTATTAAAAAGTCAACCTTCCTAGATTATTTAATTCAGATGGGACGTGAATGATGGATAAGTTAGTTTTGGTTGATTAAATTCAAAATACTAAGTACAGCAATTACTTCCAGAAATGGAATTTTCATGATAATGGCATATTAACGCATCGCCATCTAGGCTAATATACAACGTCAATAATATAGAAAGACTTACTTAATTATTAAAACAATTCTTTAGATTTTTTTTACCTTTGTGCTGTAAACATAAACAAATCATATACTTTAGACTGAGACTTATATTCGAAAGTCTCTATCTCTCTCTCTTTCCAGGAAATCCTTATAGATATCTCCATCTAGCAAATCTAAAATGTTGATACGCACTAATTACTTGTTTCTCTATTCAACTTGTAATTATGTATATTCCTTCTTTATACGATTTTATATGAAATAAAAAAAATATCGCTATTGAAACAGAGTGTAAGAGGCGAATGCCTAACGATGTTTAAAAGCTTTAAAAATTGCAAACGTCTTTCAAACAGGTATTCATTATGTATTACTGTTTGCTAGATCAGTTTCAAGTTAGTATGAATCCAAGGCATGTACATAACTCAACGCAACGTGGACTTGCAAACATTATTTAAAATTGAAATATCAAATTATTTTAAGTTGTTGGGTTCAAAATAGCTGGATGTAAAAACATTAAGATATAACAATTTGCTATAATGTTTCAGTAAATAAAAGAAAGAAAAGTTTTAAAAAGTAATAGTGCTTTTCATGTTTGATTCAAAATCGTTTTACAAAACTATCTCGTTTTGAACGTTGTTGTGTAAATGGCTACAACTACAAGCAACGAAAAGTTAATATATTGATGAATGAAAATAAGATTTTAAAAACAATATCTAGTTGCGTCCATAACGCTTTTCTGAATCAATCTTCATCCAGAAAGCTCAAAGCAAAAACAACTGAAAGCAAAGGATGTATAAGTACTTGAAAACGTAAAGAGCTATACAACCAAAAAGAACCGAGAAAATAGCCATCTAAGGTCAACTTTGTCCGAGGGAGTTGAATCGTTAGTTTCTTAATAATTTAAAATTTTATGGATGGCGTGTTTTTATATAACTGTTATAAATCATATCTATACCGCAGCACTGATTGCAGATCTTTTCATGTAAAATATGCACATCATTTTGTCTGTGCTAAAGATAAAATAATGTGTCAAAAACATCCTTGAATTCGTAACTTTGTCATTTACCGTTAGGTGAACCCTTTCATGAAAGAATGATGCTCTCTTTAGATATAGAAAGTTATTGCGTGCAACTCCTAACTTAGGTAAAAATGTGTTTCGGCCGACACATCAGCTATAAATGAGCTATGAAGAGATGGTAGGACAGATTTTTTCAGGTAAAATATGCACGTCATTACGAGATTCGGTTTAAGACATTACATTTATTAAGATTCGTGAACATTGTAGGTGCCCATTTTCTCTGTGCTACAGATGTAATGTCAAAACCATCCTTGAATTCGTATGTCATTTACCGATAGATGAACTTTTCATGAAAGAATGATGCTCTCTTTAGATATGGACAGTTGTTGCGTGCAACGTCGAAGGTATGAATGCGTTTCGGACGACATTGTGACAACCGCTATAAATGAGCTATGAAGAGATGTGGAACAATTGTCAGAGAAAGATTAATTACAATAACAGATTCTTAAAAGTTTGATATTTTGTAACCTCAAATTACAAGTCAATACTATGATGTACGAATACACGAAAATCTAGAATAGTAAAATTCAGATTAGCTTTGAAAGCTGTAATACAATTTTTAAAGGTAAACAACTTTGTTATTTATTTTAAAAATAGATTCCCCTCGGAAGCTGTTATTTATATATAAAGTCAATAAAGTATGTTACATTTGTTTGATACTAATCCCTGTTTAATAACAATTCCCGCCTTTAAGGTTCTGGATAACATTTGTAAACACTAATAAAATTTCAGAAAAACAATGTACCATCAAACGTCATAAAAGAGAAACAACTTTAATCTTTCGCCAAAGAACATAATGCAGACACCTATATGTAGAGTCACATATGGTAGCATAGAATTGATTTATATTTATGCAATGTTAGTGATTCTATAATAAAAGAACATTCAGAATAAGTAAGTAAAACCTAACGTATTTGATCATCTCGAGCTGACAATTTATTCAGTTGTATTATAAGGTTAATCTTTTCATTTTGAGGTTTTACTTTAGAGTAATAATAAATTTTATGAATTGAAATTTGTAATAAGAAGATCCAGTGTCGTTTTTGTTCATTTGACGACTAATTGTAAAATCAATTAGAAATCTGAGCAATAAACTTTAATATATATATAAGATATTTCTGACATATACTTCAAAATTCAAATGCAGCCGTCAATGTGTTGAGGATTCCATATTGATAATGTATGTTTATTTGAACTATATAATGGATTAAAGTGTTTAAAAGTACTGCAAATGATAATAGGTAAGTTTACACATTTTATGTTTTGGTCTTTAGATACTATTGACTTTAAATATTAATAAATTTATTTTAATAAAAGTTCTAAAAGGAATTTTTGAAAATCGCCACATTACTATAATTACATAATCGATGATCGTCTTGTATAATTATTTATTTTTCCGTATTCTTACATTATTACGAATAAAAACTGTGGGATGAGACTGCAACCCAATGATACTAATAATCTAACGAAATCTTTAGTTACAGCATAAAACAGGGTTTACAATACAACTTAATATTGCAAATACTAAAATTATTCTATTAATAAAAAATATTTGATTCTAAATTTGATATAGCTATAAAATTAATAACGAATATAGTTATTTATTATAAAATCCCTTCCTTCTGCATTAGTGTCTAAGGTAATTCATGCAAGCAGTTTAATGTAATTTTGTTTTCAAATACAGATACTGAAGTCGTTTAAAATTATTGCAGTTTTTTTCGTTTTAATATAAGAGAAACTAAATATGCATCTTTATTGATTTGGAATTTTATGGTAAGATTAACAAAATGAAAGATTGTAATAGACATGCACGTTTGTATTATAGAAAAATTGATATAGATACAAACATATTCAATGGCAACATCAAGATTTAAATATCTCAAATTCCAACGAGAATGTATTTCTATACACCAATGATAAAAAAAGATATACGGTAATTCAACAAGAAAATGTAAATAAAAGGTTGACTGATATAAAATTAACAAATTTAGAATTATCAAAAATGTCATTATAATCAGTCCAAAATCAGAAGTTGTGCTTCCGAAATCAGTGACCAACATACTTTATTGTAAGGAATAAAGTACAAAATCACAATATGTACTTTTCTATAATCAACTCTTAAGCCGATATCTCCTGAGGGAAATGGAAATGTATCAAGAGGGATACACTGTTTATATATAAGTAAAATAAATTAGAATAGATTGGGTAAATATGTGGTATGATGTCATACTTTGAAGCTATCAATACTATATAATACCAAGATGTGGTATGATTGCAAATGAGACAACTATCCACTAGAGATTAAATGGTGTAGATGTAAGCAACTATAGGTGCCTTCAACAATAAGCAAAACCCACACTGTCTAGCTAGGTATAACAGGCCTCCGACATGACAAAATGTAAAACATTTCAAACGAGAGAACCAACGTCCTGATTTATATGCAAAACAATAAACGGAAAACAAAGATGCTATACTTTGTTCGACAACCTCTGGATCACCTGAAAGATTGATGGTGGAAACGCCACTTTTACATGTAGCACTGTTAGCTATATTGTGACTGTCAGTTTTTATTGGTGGAGGCAGCCACTGAACTACAGGCTCTTCAATATAAAGTATGTATTGTATATGTATAGTATAAAAAAAACATCAATATAAAAACGCTTGTAGTGGTGTATTTGAATTACATATTCTAGAATAATTGCTGAACATGCTAGGGAAAAAATTGAATCATATCTTTGATTCTGCTGTAAAGATTTAATAGGTATTATGGAACGTATTTCTAAAATCAAGTGTTTTACCTGTATGATAGCAAAAACATTGAACATTTAGAAAGAAAATGCAGAATAGACTCAACAAATTTCTAACACAAATATCTTTATAAAAGAGTATTTTTGGGGCATGTATTTTCTAAATTGCTACATTTCATGGCAATAAATTATTGTTCGGTCGTAAATAATTGCAGAGTTGAGTAAATACCGTTTAATAAAATTAAACATTTTCAGTGAAAATAAGGCCAGCACAAACCGTTTTGTATTTTTTATTGATTCTGCCTTGACGGTATTTAAACATACTGTAGAGTTTTTCAATGAAACTTTTCAAAAGTTTTAGACTTTTCTGTGGTTTTTGATTGTTATTAGTGGATTTTAAGTTTTCTAAAATTGTTGATCGTTGTCCAAATTAGTGTACATTTGTTTTTTCGAGTATGAGATTTTCCTAAAAGTAAACTAACAAAATACAAATTTAAGCTTGGTAAGGAGCAACGACAGAAACACCAATGTGTTTTTTTTCTCAAACAATGAGATGAAATAAAACAAGTTATAGCAAAGTAAATCTAAAAATCGAATGTTTTCATTTCGTACCTAACACAGTGCATGCTCCTCGGTATTGTTTGTATTTTTTTTTTAAATTTCTATGAAAAAACATGATAATAGATAAAACCTCTGAATGCAGAAAGCATAGGTTCAATTTAGTGTAGCTACACAGCATAACATCATTACAAAAATTCATGTTTATAAATAAGATTTTTTTTATAAGACTGGACCAGACAGGTTCTTCTAAACAAACTTACGCACGTATGTTTTAGATTACCCAAATATGTTTGAGCCTTTCGTATCTATTTTCTTTTCATTCTTCGGTCATACCAGTGTAATGTTGACCTTAAAAAAGATTTAGATATTCTTTATATGTCCATTTTAGCCAAAAAGCTCCTGTTATGTTTAAGATAAGAATTTATCTGAGCCTTGCTTTCAAATATGGAGTTTTGTGTGTTCCTGGTGAAGTTCATCGACAAAAAGCGCCATGGACGAACCAAATTTGATAAAGTGCTATTTTCATTTTCAGAAGCAAGTCCCTATAACATCTGATATTGAAGTGTCTACATAGTATATGTCTAAATGATGACTGAATTGTGTGAGTTCGTTCCACCATGTGTTATGTGATTGTCATCCTTATTTTACATGCCATGTTATCATTAGTTATTTTAGTTCAATGACTTCCAATCAATTTCCAGTTAATTCAGTTGACTCGATTGCCTTGTGGAACTGGTTGACGGGTTAAATGAATTACATCTTATACAAACGCCATTGAGTCATTAAGTGTAATTTAATACTTAATTGCTGATGCTGCATCAAAATGACTAAGGATGCTAATTACATTATATTCACATTTTCGTGTTGTTTTTTTATTTTTAATTTTTCTTTTAAGTTTTATATGGGTCCATTGCTATAATTAACAAGTTAACTGTCTGTGGTCGAAAATAACAGAACAGGTAGACTGTACGTTACTAACTGCTTTGAAATGAAGAAAAAGTAACGAAATTAGGAAACAAATACACGAAGTAAAATACACAATATTGCCGAATCTTTTGGTTTTCATTACTGACCAATAATGTCATATATCCTTGTTTTGTCCTAAATTCGAGTATTCGTATTTAGGAATATGTTGTAGACGGATACATGGGTATTGTACAATTGTATTGTCCTATATTCAATTTTCCTCTATACGGTTACTTTGTATTGGTCCAATCCTTAATGTTTAGATAAGAATGAATATCGATAAAATAAAATACAAATTCTTTTCAGTACATGCCTGCTTCAGATGTTCTGATTGATCTCTGCGAATAACTTTTAGGTTCCCGGCATACTACAAATGGGACTTTATCATACCTATTCAAATGAGGGATGATTCGTTGATAGATATTGATGTGTTAGCTATACGCGTACATTAGTCTATTATTCCGTGAAGTAAGTTTTATTGTTTGAAATCATTCTCACTCAACATCAATGGTACTGTCTTTATGCAGGTTTGTATCAAAAATGCATACAAATGGTATTATTCTTTTTCAAATGCAGTTGTTAAGTTTATTTAAAACTTGTATTGGAAGCTTTTTTATTAGTTCCGTGCAATTTATGTCTGTTCTTCATATATATTCCATGTCTAATGCTATAAAATGCATAATGGTACTTGTGCAGATTAAGTTAGGAAATCTTAGCTATTATTCACCGACAGAAAGCAAATCCGTATTCTTCATAAAATAGTAATTGTCTAAGACAATAAATAGACAGACGGATATAAATGTATTTAAAGGCAGTATATAGGAAGTTCCAAAGAATAAAACAGATAGTGTGAATAGAATTTGAAATTAACATTTGTGCAAACATTGAAGAAATGCTTTAAAACAACATGAATGAAGATTCAAAATATAATTCAACGCGTGTATTACACGCAAAATTTACATTTGCACAAACATTGTAGAATAATTTATCTATAAACAGGAAGCGAAAATGTTATTCCTAATTTCTACGTTAAGCATTGGTTGTAACACCTACATATACCATTTAAATGAAACGATAACAATTAAAGCAGTCTGCAGTCACTATCAATACCGAAAAGAAGAGATTATGGTTCATAAAAACATCTTTTGATTTTCTTATTATCTTGCTGACCTTTAAATTGTTCCTTTACGTCAATACGTTGAACTTTTGATTTATTTCTAGTTTAGTATTGAGGAACAATTTGTTAACGAATATCTATTGATCCTTGCTTATGATCATTAACTTTTTTAAATAAACAAAAACATGCATGTGCATTATGATGAACATATCGGCATTTAACACACACTAAGCGTTCTAATAAAATAAAATTGAGAATGGAAATGGGGAATATGTCAAAGAGACAACAACCCGACCAAAGAGCAGACAACAGCCGAAGGCCACCAATGGGTCTTCAACGCAGCGAGAAAAATCCCGCACCCGGAGGTGGTCCTCAGCTGGTCCCTAAATAAAAGTGTGTACTAGTTCAGTGAAAACTCCAAAACACATAAATGAACTAAAATTAAAAAACATACAAGACTAACAAAGGCCAGAGGATCCTGACTTGGGACAGACGCAAAAATGCGGTGGGATTAAACATGTTTTTGTGAGATCTCAACCCTCCCCCTATACCTCTAGCCAATGTAGAATAAACAAACGTACAGCAATACGCACAGAAAAACTCAGTCCGAGTCCGATGTCAGAATAGGTAACAAAAGAAACTAAGCAAAATGACCATGATACATAAATGTACAAAGGACTACTAGCAGTTACTGACATGCCAGCTCCAGACCTCAATTAAACTGAGTAAAAGATTATGTCTTAATCATATGAAAATCAAGTACAATCCCTCCCGTTAGGGGTTTAGTATCATACCATCATAAAATATATGAGAAGAACATAAGTATGCTAGTCAATTAAAGTAACGTTACACGGGAGAACATTTTACATATATCTAAAAGTCCATCATACTAAAAGTAACAACTTTATATATTTTTTTTATCTGTCTATCTTGATAGAAAATTTCTCTAAATTTAGTGAAATTACAAAGTTTGCTTTCATGAATTAACCGCGAAACACCGCGATATAATTTTTATCATTATTTAAATTTTAAACATTTTTTTTATCCGTAATAAATACATGTAAAACAAAAGTCATTTCGTTTTGTCTTATCATTATTTGATAGAATCATTTTATTCTTTTTCGAATGGGACGTATAAATATGTCTTTGTTGTGATTATTGCATTGTTCACCCTTTGAGAAAGAAACTTGTAATATTGACCTTTTTCTGAAATTTTTCCTGTTACCAAAGTTTTTTTTTGTACAATTGTATTACGCTATCATATATACATAAACATCAATACAAAACGATGAAAAAATCTTTTATTTTTTTACGATGAAAGAGTATACCATATCATCTTACGAAATAAAAGACATACTTTTGCACACTTCTTGAATAATAATAATAATAAATTCTGCATTTAAAGAGGGTAAACACAGTTAGTTACAATTACTAATCTTCTCTGAGGCCCTTATATATAATACAAGTAAAAAAAATAATAGTAAGAGAAAAAAAAAGCAAACATACATGAATATATTCTATACCATCAATCTTTAACTCCAGACCATAGTGTGAAAAATGGTAATACAGGAATCTAAAACTGAAATGATGTCAACTTCGGTCCAAGGTTCATCTTTCAAATTATTTGAAATATAATGAATTTCAAGTACAAAGTCATTTTAACAACAGTTTTGTTAAAAGCTGTCTAATTCAAGTGTGAAATGCTGTTTTATATGCTAAAATATAAATTAACAATATAATGAAGATACATTTGTCTGCATACGGCAAAAGCCAGTTCTCATAAATTTGAATTAGCAAATTCTTTAGAATTTATCAACGCCATTTCGTTTAATCATAATGGAAAATGTGATCCTGCTTATTATTTATTCGAATTACATTATGCATAAAATTTAAACTTAGCTTTACGTCATTATCAAAGCATACATTTACGTGTTTTTGTTAGATAGTCTATAAACTAAGTCCCTATGTTAGAATAGTAATACAAATAGTTGCAATTTGCGTCACTTCTTCAATTGTAAATGTATATGAGTATTACTTAGAGTTGATTCCCTCTATCTTTTATCTATTTTTCTTTATGTGGTATTTTTAATAACTGTTTTTAGCTCAGAAAGCCTTCAAATTAATACTTATTTCAATGATGTCTTCCTTGTCGTCGTCTGGTATTCATTATTGGTTTAGATCGCATCTTTGACTATGATTTAGAAAAGCCATTAAAACGGAAATTAAATGTTGTTTTTTTTTTAAGAAACTTGTTTTTGTTAAAGATTTTGTAATTCCAATTAAACATCGGTGATCACCTAGCCGCTTAGATGATTAAATAAGCACGCACCAAATGGAGTTCTCTGTTATTAATATGTAGTAGTTTATTTATAAGGCTATCAATATAAGAGTTCATGGTGTGATGAGAATTAAGTTAAATTATTAATCTTATGTATGTGAGACATATTTGGTAACTTTGGAAACAGCCATCTTTTTTTTCTGAAAATCTTCAAAGTTTTTTCTCAAGTTAAGGTAGATTCCAGAAAGATTCCGAAGTTTCAATAATGCACAACTTCCGTTGTCCACTATCAACTTCCAGAGGACAAATATCAACTCATAAAATTCTTCTATTTGGTGGTACTTCTACCAGTGAGCAAATGTTTATCAATAGTTTTTAGATATTTTGATAAATATATATATATTTTTTTATTTCATGTAAAGTTATAACGTAGGATGGTACTTAGGACGCTATCGAAATTATAAGTCGAAGGACAGATAAGAACATGGCAAAAATACAAACATAAAAAATAGCACATAAAACACCGTACAAAAAAATGAGAACTTTGGAAACATAAAAGGGTGAGCGCCGATACTCCGGCATTGGTAAGCAGTATTTTCTTCAATTGTGGCATAAACCGTTTTGTTCGTGATCAGTAAAATTTCGCCTTTAAGTCATAACCCCTCTCTCTCACTCTCGTATTGCTTCTCTCTCTCTCTCTCTCTCTCTCTCTCTCTCGTGGAGTCTTTTAATTTTCGATTCAAATATTCATCCATGATATGTTTCATGTGTTCTCCCCATTAATAGCTAAATGGTGATCATAGATTTGCATTCATTCTAGAAAATGTTGATTTAATACCTAACATGAAGCAAGTTATGTACAACATTTATAAACTATATTTTATAATGAAGCATAAATCATCTTCATAAATGTGATGTATGTTTCCGTTTATCCAGCAGAAATGTAATAGCCATGTATCCAATAATGTCACAAACGAGGCGCACATATCATCGCTTTTTGACGATAATTAACACGTCTTTGTGAATGATTCTTGCATCAAGTTTCTTACCAAAGATGTATGACGACTAAAATAGTGTCATGGTTTACCTAAAAATAAACTTACATTAATCACAGACATCAAAACCCATCCTGGCTGCATTTCAACAGGAGTGTCAGAAACATTAATCACAAGTAAGGAAAAGAATTCATTAGAACCAAATCAGAAAATCATATATTAGTAACAGGTTATTCTGGGACTAAATAAAAACATTCTCAGGAGAGAATCAAAACTCATATGACAAATAGAAAAACCAAGAAAATACAAACAGCAGTCTATAAAACACTATATTAAAAACTAAAGACTAAGCAAAACGAACCTCATAAAAATAGAGGTTTACATCAATTGCTACGGAAGTGTCAGTAGATCCTGCTCATGTGGCACCGATTAGCACTGTAGAATTAAAAAGAGGAGTTAGATCGCTTATTTCTTGCTCTTATCACGATGAATAAAAAAATCCTTTTTAACATCGTGTTAAAATGTCAACGTTTCTACTTTCAATCGAAATTATAATACAGCGAAGACGCACAATAATGCTACTGCGGGTTTTTTTCTGATTTTCCGTCATATAATTGACTGGGGATATGCATCTTCTTATGCAATTAACTAGAAAGGCTGTCGAAAAGCCATCAACGATTCTATTTCATACAGTAGAGAAGACGTAGCATAGTAGTAATGGGAGTTTAATAATATGAAATTGTATTGGAAAAGAGCGTATATTTTTTTTTTTCATGAAGAAAAAAAATACAAAGTGTTAAGATAGATTAATAAAAACTCTCTTTCAGTGTTGATAATTGCTTAAGTTATTGTTATTATAGATCTAAGTAAAAACATAAGATACATGTATAATACTGGGTCAGTGCGAACGACGTGTTTCTAGCAAACGAGAGGAGAAGGATAACAAAGGGACATTCAAACTCACAAGTCGAAAACAAACTGACAACGCCATGACTAAAAAGTTTAATTTCTTTTACTTATTTTCAGTAGATTTAAACTTGACGTTTTAAAAACATTGCGGTAACAATCTCCAGTTCAAATTTAAGGAGTGTTTGAGTTGCATTTCTTACACAAAAGATTCTATAAATCTCAGTTTTTTAAATTTGGATGACTTAATTGATGTTTTGGAGTGATGAGACTTTACATAATACTAGTATGAACATATATACATATCCTTTATTTTATTTTGTCAGAAATAGAATAGGAGTAAAATGTTGCAATCCTTAGCTAAATAATATTAGACAATAATATACTGCAGGAAATGCATATCCTGTTTGACGTTTTCTCTTGCATTAGCTTTTGTAACTAATTCTTTGGTAACATTAGCATTTTAAGGATTCAGAAAACATCAAAGTATCATTATTTTGCTCCAATACACATACATGCAACATTCAACTTTCAACTTTAGGGGCGGTAGACAGTGGAACAATTTTATATGTATGTTCTATATATATATAATAAGGAGACGTGGTATGCTTTCCAATGAGATGACTATTTTTCCATTTTTCCACGAACCAAAGATCGTGGATGTAATCTCCAACCTGGATTTTTTCCTCTAATGGTAGAGCGATATGTTCGAAAGGCAAATTATTGAATTAAATTCAGAATAGAAAGGAAATAACTTTTTCAGACGGTTTTCTGTTTTATTCATAATACTATATGTATTTTTATTTTTAGGTACACCGTATTGAATATAGTGGAACCGAAAATTATGTTTTGGTAAAATGGCAGTTGAAAATACTACATCGATGATTGACAATTTTTCTTTGACGAATAAAAATGCATCAATTTACAGTGAAAGAAATGAGGATCTTGCATTAGTGGAAATTACCGTGCAGTGTTTCATATTCTGTCTTGCCGTTATTGGTAACAGTACAGTTCTGCTGACACTATGGACGCGCAGACGGAAGTTAGCACGTGTTCATTTACTGATGGTTCATCTAAGTTCCGCTGATCTGTTTGTTGCATTTTGCAACGTACTACCACAAATATGTTGGGATTTGACTTATGTTTTCATTGGTGGAGATTTTCTGTGCCGATTTGTTAAATATATCCAGGTTGTTGCAATGTATGCATCTTCCTATGTTTTGGTTATGACAGCCATAGACAGATATGTGGCGTTGATTCATCCATTCATCGCTCATAAATGGTCCTCACGAAAAGTCCATTATATGGTCGCCATAGCTTGGTCTCTATCATTACTATTTAGTCTACCTCAAATATGGATCTTTGCATTTGCAAAGCGCAGTGATGGCCAGTATGACTGCTGGGCAACATTTGAACCTTTCTGGACGTTACAACTTTACATCACAGCTTCCACATTGTTAATTTATATAATCCCTATACTCATTTTAATATTTTGCTATGGATGCATATGTTATACTGTCTGGAAACGTGGTAGAGTTGGTGAACCGGTTCCGACCTCCTCAGGCCGTTCCTGGTCAGATGCACAACTTCACAGAATTGAACAAAATGGAAGCAGATCTAGCTTAGACCGATTAAATATGAACGGGACAACGAAAAGACCTCAAATACATCATGGAATTTCCCGTGCTAAAATTAGAACGGTGCAAATGACATTGACTGTTGTGCTGTGTTATCTCGTTTGCTGGTCTCCTTTTTTTATTGCACAGATGTGGTCAGCTTGGGATGAAAATGCTCCCTTTTACGGTAATTATGCTATGTTACTTACATTATACATAAATGTGGTATTAATTGTCTTAACCCACTGGGGAGGGACAGTTGGAGTTTTTGAAGTCAGGAGAATTTTTTTTTAAATGAAAATGAATATTCTGGCCCAGTTAGAGCTGAAAATGAATAACTGGCATAAGACAGTATGTAAATGAAAAAAATATTCTGCAACACAAAATGCAGGCAACAGCAGAAAAAGAAAACTTAACGGAAAATATAAGCATGCGTAGCAAAAGATGATAACGAATAGTTTATCCGCAAAAAAAAATCATGCGGTATCCATCTCTAGCCAAGGGGTTAAATTGAAGTTCACATGAATACGGATTCAATGAGGTCGAATTATTCACTTGCAAGTGAATAATTCATCCTCAATGTTTCTTAGCTTATTTTGACAAAATTGAACCATATTGGCTGCTAAAAGCGATATATTATTTCACTATTTCACTTTCATTAATGATTGAACAAAAAAAATCGTATTTTACATTTTTTATATATCTCGTAGCTAGTGCCCCTTTAATTCATACAAACAAGATGTTTTGTAAAGTAAAACGAATCATTGTTTTGCAGCGGAAGCAGGTACACATCATTGCGAAAACTACTGTTCTCTTTAATCGGATATTGAACTTTCAATGTTAAAATTGAGAATGGAAATGGGGAATGTGTCAAAGAAACAACAACCCGACATAGAGCAGACAACAGCCGAAGGCCACCAATGGGTCTTCAATGCAGCGAGAAACTCCCGCACCCGGAGGCGTCCTTCAGCTGGCCCCTAAACAAATATGTATACTAGTTCTGTGATAATGGACGTCATACTAAACTCGAAATTATACACAAGAAACTAAAATTAAAAATGATACAAGACTAACAAAGGCCAGAGGCTCCTGACTTGGGACAGACGCAAAAATGCGGCGGGGTTAAACATGTTTTTTGAGATCTCAACCCTCCCCCTATACCTCTAGCCAATGTAGGAAAAACAAACGTACAACAGTACGCACAGTAAAACTCAGTTTAAGAGAAGTCCGAGTCCGATGTCTGAATAGGAAACAAAAGAAAATAAACAAAATGACAATAATACATAAATAACAACAGACTACTAGCAGTTACTGACATGCCAGCTCCAGACCTCAATTAAACTGATTGAATTTATATCGCTTATAAATATTTATCAAGTTAAAATTGGAAGAAAGAATAAAGAAAGAAAACGTAAAGATTACAATATAAAAGCTAATAAATTATCAGGCTTACAGTTTAGAAAGCCAGACGAGCGTTTCGTCTTCACAAGACTCGTCAGTGGCGCTCCAATCAAAACAGTCGAAAGGCCACATCAAAACGAAGTGAAAGAGCATTGGAAACCAACATTCAAAATAAAAAGTGCTAATATATGTATTTGTCGATATTGAAGATTACGAGATTTTCGAAATGTGGTGCAAGAAATTCGACCTGTTGAAGTAAAGCATACTGCAATAAAAGGAAAATGACAGATATTTACATCCATACTTTGAAAACGCCCCTTTCTAAGTCATTACCAATTTCATCCGTACAACTTCTTTTACATTTCCACACATCTATCGGTTGGAATAAGGACTTTCACAAGATTGACAGTTCACAATTACTACTCGCACGGACGTGGCTAACTTGTGTTATTTTGATTTATCGAAAATATCTTAAAACACGTGCAATTTTCTAATGGTCAAGGGATCGATAATTTGCAGTAGTTCATGTAGAAAACTGTTGCAAGATTTTTTGGTTTGATTCAAACTACGAAAGAGTCTTCAAACTGAGAGAAAAAAAACATAAAAACACCCATGAAATAGATATGCTTTTAATCATTGTTAAATTAAAACTGAACATTGTTTTTCTTAATTTCTCCTACGTCAACATTCATGTTTTTACGCTAAAGATACGAAAACAGGATTAGTTAATTAAACGTTAATAGTTGTATAATTCCTCAAGGAGATGGAGACTATAAAAGTGCAAAAAATCGTAATTATCGGTCTTGAAGAAAATAAATTTTGTTTGATTGTGTCTTTATGGGCACTTACAGTAATAAAACTGTCAATATTAAAAAACATTTATCTCTGTGGATCCAAAAGTTATATCATTATGTGTCCGATTTCCTAACAGACTTTAGTAGATATTATATACTCGAAACGGTAAAACGTAAACTGTTTATGGCATTGCTTCATGATATAGCATCCAAGCATGTGACACAGAATCAAACATTTTGACAGATAAGGAAATTGCTTAATGAAAAAGATTATTTAATAGTTAACTGCCAGCTTCCGCTATTCGATTTGGACATATTGAAGTCTTATGTTGTATTCCTTATTTTAGATTCTGATAAGGAGAAATACAATTTCATGCAGGCTGAATCATTGATAGGCATTAATTTATATTTCTGTCAACTCTATTAGCATGCATAGATCAAATCAAAAGCACACAGTGAAACCATCGTGTATACATCTGTGAAGTAGCTAGAAGCTTGATTTAATTTCTGATATTTTTTTTAATTCTATTTAATTAACTGTTTAAATACACTTATATTTCTAATATTTCAACAACAGAATATATTGATTTTTAGTTTGCATGACCTTTATTTGGTTTGAAATTGTCACAGAGACCCCACCTATTTATATTCTATTATAAATCATTGACAATTGAATGTTTGAGATCATAGATGTATAAGGTTTATACAGCTATGTTTGAGATTAAACCGACAAAAGAAGATAAATGTAGTAGAAAACCAACCAATCATGTTACTTACCAAATTAACTGTTTTATATAATGCAAATGGCCTCGTGGGAACTTTGAAAAGAAAAGGGACTAAAATGGCTAAAATGGCTGTTCCATTGCTTTTGATCTTTCTTTATGCACGCGTAGCGTTTTTGTGTCATGAATATCCTATCTTTTCCACCATTCCAATTAAGTTTTCTCTTGTGCTATGTAGATACCGTGCAACGTTCTCCAGTGTGTAAGATGTATGCTCTTTTTGAATACATTAATGTCGATTGAATTCTTGAGATAACTTCCTTTATATTTGTACTACTTCGTTTTATCGCTTAAAGCCAGTTTGTTGATTGACATTTTAAGACAGTTCACCCGTATTAAATGCCTTATCCATACGTAATTTCTTTCCAAATTCCTATATCTGACGTGCATTGTGGTCGTGTAAATGTGTGTATTGTTTTTGTATTTTACAGTGAAATTTCTTGCCGTTTTTGTAAGATTTTTTTGCCAGATATACTTTATAGGTTGTATATATTATTACGCAAATGTGTTCTTCAAAGCACAGATGTAGCGCATGATTGACAGTCAGCAAATATTCCAACTCAAACCGTAACCTCTTGTACTTGCAGTGAGGGAAGTTTTTGTTCCATATCAAACACCTTACAATTTGAGATGAAGAACAGTAAAAATAGGGCTTTCCATTGCTTGTGGGTTTTTCCCATGTATTTGTTGTTAATTTGGGTCATCTGTTACATTCAGAATAATTATGTAATCAAAGTTGTCACAGGTGTTATTCCTTTGCTTGAATAATAATTCTAATGTTAAGATAATGCATAACATTGTTGCTTACATTCGCAACATTGTTATGCATTGTCTAAACATTAGAATTATCATTCAAGCAATATCAATTCATTAAAAAGAACCATGGTTCGTCTTAAAAATAAGTATGTTAAAAGTAAAATCCTTAGTCGATTTTGACTATGATGTATACTGTAATGACGTTTGATGAGTTTTTTACTTTATAATAATACGTCTCTGAAAAATAACAAAAAAACCGCAATAATCACACACTTCATTGTTTTGTAAAAAACGTATGCATTTTAAAATTTCTCATACTGTTTATTTTTACTTTCAGGACCTGCGTTTACAATAATACTTCTCCTGGCAAGTCTAAACAGCTGTACTAATCCATGGATCTATTTGTTCTTTAGTGATGCAGCATTCGATAAGGTTAAAAGTTGTCTGATGCCAAAGAAACGAACACCTTTCGAAATTCATGTTTCCACATGGCGTAGTAATCGATCGCATTTCAGTTCCAAGTATACTTCATCTTTACAGTAGACAAACTATGTGTCCCCAGATCCCTGGAAAATGAATTTTCTTAACTATTTGCAAAGAATTAAATGTTTTTAAATTCATTAACATGAAACCGTCTCCAATAATTTTCAAACACGATTGATTGTTCTATGCAAGTGCGTTTTGATTTAACAGGAAACCAAATGACGTCACCAGACACATATCGGCTTATATTGTATATGAATTTATTAGTTTGTTCCTCTTTTGAGTTATATATACGATTTTAAGCCTTTCAAGCAACACATTAAATGTTTGCTTTTCCCCGAAATCACTTTTTGGGTAATTGGGACACACCACACGCAATACTTTATACTTGTTGGTAGTCAAGGATTTCAGGAATATTGTATGAAAATAATAATTTGATAATTAGACACAAAAATCCGGGCGAAAACATTCGAGTGTATCTTACTTATTAGTAACTTATATACAACTGTATTCCAATTTAGATAAATGAAAGAACAGAAAAAAGAAAGAAAAAGACAATGGGATAGAAATAGGAGTAAAGATGTATTTACACTTTTCGGTCTTTAGTGAATTTGCTCCGAATGACCCTAGACCTGTCTCCGAATAACCGTTTAGCGTCATGCAACAATCAATTTGTATTTACGACGTCAAATGTTTTAAACTGTAAGTCTAGTAGCACTAATATTCCAACTCTACTGGTACATGTAATCTAGCAGCACACTTATCAACTAGGAATTTTTATTTAGCAACACGAATTTTGTATGAATACTAGAGACTTTATAAGTGTATAAAAACAAGGAAACATGTTCATGTATAATTAAAAAAGAGAAAGTAAATGTTTTATCAGCATATTCCCTTCCATAATTATGACACAGTCCTTGTTTATCCATGGAAGTATTATGTTGTCAATATAATACTTTCATGGTTTATCTAATATCCTGACTCATTATCATATTTTGGTTTTGACCTTTTTCTTGATTCTAGACTCAAATCGAAATATCATGAGTAGGGACTTGGTAAGGCGTACTTGGTTTATACTTATCATTGAATCTCTTTTGTCATATATCATTTTTGTACGTAATATAACAATATTGTCTTTGAATGTAACAAATTGACGTGCTACGACTAAGGAACTGAGTAACATCATTAGAGGTACACAAAATTGACTGTTTTCTACAACGTTTCAATTATAAACAGTTTCCTTATCTAAATAAAAGTGATGCGTTGATTCTTGTGTAACAGGTTTGTGTTGCCCTTTTCAGTGTACAACCACCTCAGTTTTCATTTAGACATTTGATTAATCTGTTCAAAATTTGTCATCAGGACCAAACTATCGTTATTCTTATCATATTATTGTTATCATTATTATCATGTGAAAATTGGATATATCAATACTACACAAAAAATACACACACAAAAATACGAAAAAGCACATTTTCCCGTAATCTTGTTTCTTGCAGGAACAAAACATGCGATGAAATAACCACAATTTAAAAAGACAGTTTTCTAATTTAATTCCATTCTATCAGACGTATGATTAATTTGAAAATCTTAAGTTAATAAAGTATAATTGATTGGTCGATTTTTGTTTGCTTTAACGTTCAGTGCCAAAATTGTCATGTATATCAAGGATGGAAACAAACTAACAATACAATAGGTAAATTTTGCAAGATACAAAAGGTAGGTTGGCCGGGATAAAGGGCGTGCAATTTTGACTTCCACGGAAAAATGAGGTAATGTTGGAAGGAGGTAACTTTCAGACTTCTCAAAGAGTTGATGTAAGGGTTCATTATAGTGCAGAGAGAAAGATACACTGTCCCTACATACATACGGCTTCGAATTTAACGCCTTTAATCAGACCGGAGTTGATTGCGCATTTCTACATCCCACAGTCAAACGGATGTCTAACTTTAGAAATACTTTTGCTACTAGATCGGGGGATGTTTAGGGATGACCATATTTCTATACACCAGACAATTAAGATCAAGGAACAGTAAATGGGCTATCACAGATTTTGGTAGAATTTTGCATACAACCTTGTCTCGTTGAACTTAAACTGAAAATCGAAAAAAATAATGCATTTATCTCTTTTATCAACTGAAATATTACTGATCGAATTCTTTCAAAAAAGGTGAACATTTGTATAGAAAGCACATAAAATCAGTCAAAAGCCTTCTTAAATGGATCTTAAAATCATCAAATCTCTAATTTCTAATGCATAGATTTTCCTTAAAAAACTATATGGTGTTGATACATAAATTTCCGTTTTAATGATATAAAATAGTCATGGGTCACCGACTTCGTTTTTTGTCTAATAATCAATCTGTTACCTAGTTGGTAGTGAAAAACGTCTGAAATTAACGTTTTATGGCCTGTACCGCAATGACGAGACAATTATCCACCAGATTTCAAATGAAGTGGGATATAAGCAATTATAGGCAACCGTACGGCTTCAACAATGAGAAAAACCCATGCCGTATAGCATTACGTCAATCATTATAGTTGTATTTTAATTGTCTGGTGTATAGAAATATAACTATTATGAATGACATAATGCTATGCGGTATGGGGTTTTTTCATTGTTGAAGCCGTACGGTTGCCTATAATTGCTTACATCCACTTCATTTGAACTCTGGTGGATAATTGTCTCATTGGCAATCATACCACATCTCCTGATTTTTATAAAACGTTTTTGCTTTTAACATGTTCTGTATTATATATTTGGCCTTCCTCATTGCTAATGTCGTATGTATTTGGTGGTAGGTCATATCAGAACCAAGTGTCATGTAAAGTGGATTCGGTATCTGACTACAAAATGACAATAAAATTTTACTGAGTCTAAATTCAACCTGTAAATGCGCGAAAAAATATTTAGTAAACTTGTTTGGCTTCAGTTCTAATTTTAAACGCTATCAAACATACATAAAGATTAACCAACACAAACAAAATTCAAAAACAAACACCTACTAGTAAGCGACGGCAAAACACAGTAAAAAACACATAACAGCCATATACATAATTCACAGAAACAATGTGCAATTTATTACGCTTATATGAAACAGTCAAAAAATATAACTGTCATCGCTAGCAACAGTCTCCCAATAAAATAAAAGCAGCTGAATCAGAAATAATTAAAGATTGAGAAACACCAGCTGAGTACAAAACATGAGTGAAAATAGGCGTATTTGCACTGATCTTCACAAATAAGTTAAATTACGGTGATTCATTTTGTAAGTTAAAAACTGGCAAAGAAAATGAAACTATTAGTCTGAAACAAACAGATCTGACATCTTGTTAAAGTTTACAATTAACATTTGTAACATGAATGGTAATTTTTCCTTTAATATTCAAGAGAGTGTTAACTTCGGTTATTTTTAGAGGAGTGCGTTAATTGAATGATTTTTTAGTTATTGCACTATGCAATCCCGCCGTTGACCGCATCTCGTTGGAATAGCAAAGAATGGGAGGAGCTTAAACTAGTGCTCTAACTTCCATCTCAAAAGTTGTTAATGCACAGTCTGGCTCCGCCTCCTTCGAGAAGTAAATAATGAAAAAAAATTAAACAAAATGTAATAAAAATGACTATACATTTTGCTACTCTGTTATGTTTATTTTAGTTGGATTCCTGTTTTTATCTTGTCGAAAATAATAATATTCTAAAAAAAATATATGTCACTGGATGTTTAGGTAATTTTCTCCATTTTATAAAGGTCTATCTCCGTGAATTGATCATGCTTCAAATATTTGTCCCTGGACCTTACTCGCAATCAACAACCATTCAACCCAATTAATCGATCTTTTAACAGTTGTTGGGAATGGAAAAATAGTATTAGGGAACGAGCATTTAACTTAAAAAAAAAGGGGGGTATGGTTTTTCCTATAAAAAATATTCTGATCCCCTATTTGATGAGAAAAAAAAATATTGTGGTCAAGCAGATAACAAAAAAAAAATATTCTGAATCCAGATTTCCCCCATAGTGGAAATTTAGTGTTAAATTTTGAAAAAAATAATTTGATTGCCAGTGTCGAAAAACAAACAAAAAATGTTCGCGCTTTGTTTTTTTTTTTTACAAAAAAGCATACCCCCCCCCCCCCTTTGAAGTTAAATGGTTGCTCCCTTAATGATTTTCATATATTGGTATTGGATAATGTTTCCTTCTTGTCACAACGTTAAAACTCCTTCGAAACTACACGTCCTTTTCGGGTTTGAGGGCTGATAAACATCGAATAAAATTTTGCATCTACCCCACTGCACTCCCTTTCAAGAATTTTCGGGGGGGGGGGGGGGGGGACTATTCAATAACACATAAATGGCTAGTCTGAATCCATTTAAATGTACCTGCATCTTAAATACAAATCCAATTGTCATCTACTGCATGTGTTCATTTTCTGAAAATCAAATATAGTATCGTGCCACTATTTGATTGAGTTTTATTGGTCAGCATTTAACCTTTGACATTTGTCATAACCCATTAATGTTACAAATCATATAAAGCCACGCCTTACTCATTAACATATTTAATCCACTTAAAGCTGCGCTTTTCATGAATTAAATACGTTAATTCGTAAAAGGCGTGCTATATATATAACTTACCTCTCTGACATTAAGAAATGTTGTATTTGGTGTATTTTTCTGCTTATTTGTTTCACATATTTTATTATCCTATTATGCTGTTATATAATTGATGTTCGAATGTTTCCCTTATTTGTATGTTCAACTAGACGCAGTTAAATTGGTTAACAAGGAACCACTAGTAGCATCCTACTCTATTTTTTCTATTAATGTTACCGGTAGAGTACAATTTAACAAGATATATTTTATATCAATCCTACATGTCACGACTTCTAACAACGTTACTTCCGTCTCTGGTGTCAATCAACTTTCCAGATGTTCTTATAAGCTCTTGACATTTGATGTAAGACAATAAAGCCATATTTAATTAAAGAAGTGACCAAGAATTACTTTCGGTCTTTAGTTGTTTTCCTTACTGTCGTCACGAGGGGAATCAAACACTCTATAACTGCAATTAGGAGAGAGTCCGATGTCTTGACTTTTAGAGTATATCTCACAAACAAAGCAATTCAGAATACATCCGCGGTCATTTATATGAAAATTGTATTATAGGTCATATATCTAAGATAATGCTGCTTAGCTCCAAGATAATTTAATTGATAATATCATTTCCTCTAGGGCTGCAAAACCTAACCTAACAAATTCCGGAAAAAGGGACCGTATAAGTAATATAACATTAAACTCGCCTGCAGAATTTTTACAGAAAATAGTTTTAATTTGTTATCTTTAGTACATTTTTTTTATCTGATTAAACGTATAAAATGATAACCTATAAATCATTGTTTTTAATTGAGTATGAATTTAAAAATTTATGATCGCCATTTATATCTGATTTTTAGGTTAGATAGTTCAAAGTTTAAACGAGAGTTACACATCGAAATAAATATTATCTTAATCTGTTGATTGGTCCACTAGGTTTCTAGT